CATGGTCCTGACAAAGTGTTGTTATTTTTCGGGTCAATCAGAAATACAATTTGGCTGCCATGGCCGCTATTTTGCTACTAAGTTCTAATAGGCCGATCTCACTTAAAATTGGTCTAGGAATGATCAGCTCATGGTCCTGACAAAGTTAAGTTAACATTATACTATTTTTTACTCAAATTGGTACATATTTCAACAACAAAAATAAATACTGTAGACTCAGGTGACCGTTAAGGCCCATGGGCCTCTTGTTGTTCAAACATGTTATTCTGGCTGTGTGGCATATCCTGTGCAATCATTTCAGAATCACGTGGCTTGATGTGCCTGTTACTTATCTCTGTGGTCGATCAGGAATGATTGTGTTGAATGTTGATATCTAACACTTGTTTAATCATTATGAATGTCACTTCCAGCATTCATAGTTCGATTGATTTCACATTTGCTGCTAAAAAGTAACTACTGTTAAGTATAACTTGTCATTTATAAAAAGTTTTGTCAAATATTCTTTAAAAGTTGTCTTATTAGGGTTCAATAAGTTCTCAGTTTTTGAACAGTTTTGTAATCGAAAGAAACAGATATGGTATATCCGTACTAAAAAATAGTTCTCCAAACCTAATATATGTCATATATGGATGATATATTACACAGAGTTAAAGTCAAAATGTAAGCCAGGAAAAATGTACTCGTATTTGGTGAGAATCTGTAGCTTCTCTTGTTAATTACCCTGAATTTCTTGTTTATGTACATTTAATTATATAACTTATTTCTGAGATGTTATGTGATGATATTTAAAAAAAACTTTTTTTTGTACAAAGTTCATAACTTTTGCTATACACTTTTTCATTATTGGTCATTATTAATATAAAACAGTGAAGAATGTACTTAACTAACAGTGATATCCTTTTATATCGGACTCCTGTACAATGGCGATCAGTCTACAGTTGGAGTGGAAGACTGGATTGGTAGATAACTTATAGCCAAATTTGATATGTGTTCTAATAACACAATAATGACTCCAGACAGTTCCCAGTACCTCAAGTATAGCCTCCTGGTTACAAGGTCTGGCTGTTTCCGTGGTTACAGGAACCGCATCCCCTGGTGATGGGGACTTCTTGTTCCCTGGCAACAGGAACTAATTTCCCTTGGTGATTTGGACTGACTGTTCCTGATGTTTGTTCATAATCACCAACATCTGGTTTGCTCATCTGAAATTGTGATTTGTTTGACTTTTTGATGGTAACTCATTTGCATATGTACCTTCAGGGATCATTATCTGATATGGAATTGTATTATTCTATTAATTCATTATGTTATGCATGGGTCTTGTGAAGACAGAAATAAATTTTTCACATTTTGTAATATATAACATTTCTCCTTTCTGGTACCTCATGCATTATGGTTATCATGTAAAGTATGAATATGAAATATGATTATTATATATAAATACTTATATATTGAATACACACTAATGATGAAATAAATTTTTACATGTCATTGATGAAGTAAGATAAAATGTTTGTTATTTGTTTGTCCTAATGGCCAATTTAAGAAGCCAAGACACTCGACAATGGTAGACAATTTAAGCATTTTATTTACCATTAACCATTGAGGGGGGGGGGGGGGGGGGACTAATTCCTTAATTGTCTCATAATGACAAAACTGTGATATTAATAACAAAACCGAGTGAAAAAAAGTAGCCCATAGTTGGAAAGTAGGTCACGGTGACCGAGTTTTATATTGGGTTAATTTTGTCAATGATATACTCTATTTTGTTACTAAATCAACATAATGACCATAAAATGATGCCAAATTTTGATTATCACTATTGTAATAATACCAAAAAAAGAAGAATTAAGTGAGAGAGGGGGGATTACTTTTGTGTACCTTAGTGCTGTCTTTGGCACAAATGCCTAACAACAAGTGATTCCATTCACACAACTGAGATAGTTTGATGAGGCACTTGGATGTGCTATACCAGGTTGATAACCCTCATAGGAAAGGTACCAGAGGACAGATGCAGTGTGGGCACAGCAGCCCACCACCTTACACTAGCAATACCAACCTTATTCAATACACAGGTTGTACACTTTTGAACCTTTATTAAACCAGGCTTTTTCCAGCATGTCATGACTTCATACTGCTCATCTTCAGTCAAATGCTCTGCAGTATATGACTTCGCCTGTTTCAGCTGATAGATCCCCATCGCAAGAGCTCTTGGCTCAAGTTCTGTCATTTTAGAGAAGTGGAGCAAACTGGCCTCATCAAGCCTTTCCCATATGGCCCGCTTTCTAACCAAGCCTGACTCGACTTTAAATTGCACTTTATTGGGACTCTTAGACAGTGCTAGCGTTCTCTCGGCAATGACAAGGTCACTGGGAGAGTCGGAGGCAAGGGACGAAAAGCATTACATATTGCACATACAATTTTCACGAAGTCCCCCACAACAGGAATGAGGCTATTGGGCAAAACATGTCTCAAGGTATTTCAATGCTTAATTCGTCCATTTGCTGACTCTACAACACATGTACACATTACTTTGTTACAGGAGCATCTGGGATGTAGTAGTGCTTAAGAAACATTAATTCGATAATTACTTAAGGATCAATAAGCCCTCTGAACGACGCTATAGTCGCCCTTAATTTCAACCCCCTGGTAGGTTATATTCAAATACTCCAATTAAGATCGGAACATATACATGTAGTTTGGGAATATTGAACGTGTACTTAATCTATTAAAATGTTCCATAGCGAGGTTGACGTAGTCAATAATAAGACACATTAAGGCTGATACCTTCATAAAAATAGTTCGCCGGTCTTATAGCATGTAAGTTTCCTTAGCTCCTCGGCTATATGTTATGAAATGACATATCATATGAAGTTCATTTATATACATAGGTCATGCAGAGCTGAATTTTGTCACTCACTAGCTATATAAAGGCATACTATCCTTAAATTAAGATAGATAATTCCTTGCGAAACTGCTAAAATCATAGTTAAAAAAACCTGGTAATCTATTTAAGCAGATGATAAATTTAATGAAGAAAACAAGCGAAGTTGCCTAAAACTATCCATCAAATTATATAACACTCTGTGATGTTATGAATGCGCTAGACATGTTATAAAGAATGACACTGAAAAGTGCTTTAATGTTTATAACATGTCGAGGAGTTTTTACAACAACATCAAACATTACGGTCATAATACCCTTGGTTTATGTATATATTTTACTGTGATCTTTTTGCATTCCCATAGCTACAGTCATCTTGTTTTTAGGCCGGCATGCCCCTCCACAGCCAGTAAAAGAGAAATAAAGCTCCGCATGACCTATGTATATAAATTAAATTAAGATAATTTGTCATTTCGTTGCATTTAATTTGGTTTTAAAAGAGACTGACATGCTATAAGTTCGATGAACTATTTTGATGAAAACATCAGTTAATGCCCTATTATTATGTTAACATCACTACGGAACATTTTAATAGCTAATGTACAAGTCCAATATATCTAAATTACATATATAAGCTCCGATTTTTAATTAATTAAGGTCTTTGAATATGACTTATGGGTTTGGAATTTAATTTGACTATAACCCCTTACAGGTGGCTTGTTGAACCTTAATGAATATTAAGTTTCCATTTGATTGCCCTTAAACGTCCTTATGGTTAACTAGCATTAAATGTAGTTTTGCATTTAACTTGATCAGTAAAAGAGTAATTGAAAATAAAAGGGCCTTTTAAGGTGGTGTTGGTCAGTATTTTGTAATACTCTGAATAATTGAGGGTTTTAGATGTGCCGTCTGTTCAACAGAAGAAAAAAAAAAGTTATGCTAGTTTTAAATCTTTAGGACGTTTAGGGAAATCAAATGGAATTTTAATATTCCTTGTATACACCAGAGTATTAAGGTTCGTCTACATAAGATGATTATTTATACTTGATTTCTCCTAGAAAAAAAGAAAACTATCGTATAATACAACATTGGTTCAGTACTTCAATCAAAGAGGTACAGTCTCTCTTCACCTGCATCTGACAGTGCCAATGTACGAGATGGACATCATACAGAGAGTAGAGTGTGGACTTACAGTCGTAATATCACGCCCTTGGGGATGAGTAGAGGAATTTCATCCCGAGGGGGAGACAATGGGTGGTTCGGAAGTCACGGTGCCTTTATCTGTAGGAGGATGATCCTATGACAATTTCACTGGCTAATCACCTGCCATAGAAGAAAGGATCGGGCTTCAGACAGGTTTCTAAGTTCCCTGAGAATCGGTACAGAGGGTTATATCCCTCATCATATAAATAGTTATCCTACTGATATTGCAGCTTATGGGTGATACACTGAACTTCCTTGCATACCCAATCATTTTATTCCCGGACCATAAGTGTAAATATACAGGTTCCCCAACGGGAGATGGTTGGTTATCTGGTTTATCTAACTCGAGTTTGACAATTTCCAATTAATTGTATATGAACCCTTGTATACCCATTAGCCTCCTACTTTTTAGTCCCTTACACATTTGCCTTCTTAATGTTAACTTCCCTCCCCAGCATAACCAACTTATACCAATGAGCGTCTGGATAGTTCCTAAGATCATTTCTTTCTTACGAGCTTATGCTATTTACTTGTTTATCCCCATTGAGAGGCCTATTGAGACTTTATTACTATTGATGATGGACTTCTAACTTTTGGTGTGAATAATGATATATCTAAACATTTGCAACTTCAATATTTTTTTGATATTAACTTGTTGAAAAATTTAAGTTAACTTGCTTGCCTCTAGTGGATTGAAATAATAGACAATGTCTGTACAGGAGATATTTGACCATATGGACAAGAGAAAGCAGTAAAGGTCGTTATAAACTTGGGCCAAATCATTTACACAATTTGGAAAATAAAATATGCTGATATTTAAGTTCACTAAGTGGTTATTAACGCTCAACCACTGAACAGTATACGGAATGCACATGTAAGCACTTAAACATAAGTCACTGTAGAAACCAGATTTAGTTTCAGACGATTATCTGTAATAAACCAATTTGAATGATATTTTTCATTTATCATATGTGAATTTAAGTGCCCCATAATTGGACGTTATTCGTTGAAAATTCCAAAACAATTACCTACCTATAATGATGATAGGTTGAAAATGTCATCATCCTACTTAACTCATGACACCACGCAGACGGTCACCACTGTAGACGGCTGCGAGCTGCTGGTGTGACGTGTCCCACTGGAAAAGAACGAGTCGTCCGTTTCAAGATGGAGAAGATGAACATGCTTTGTTTCACCATTATGCTGATAGGGTGCTTTTCTGAAGGTAATAAATGTTATTCATGTTAGAGATAACTGCAAGTGTAAAGTTGCCTTCTTCATACAGGGCGAGACTGTCATAGTTGAAAAGCAGTAATGTAAACTTGTAATGATTTGAAAAAAATCGTTCCTAAATTTTCCCATCCCGTTATATGTTGTATTTCTATATGTATATTTAATATCTGAACTGAACCATGCTAGTCGACATCAATCGCTTATAATTTCCTTAAAGTGTTTTAAGAACCACAAGCAAAATAACTAAATATTAATGCCAACGTTGATGGTTCTGAACACGACACATCATGTTTAAAAACTACATGATATGTACACAAAACAAATGTTACAACAGCTTTCTATATTTTTATTGGTTTTGCAAAGATGGCACTATTCTATAATGTGAAATATTGTAATTTTTAACAACAAAGAACAACATTATTAAATATTATTGGCTTATCTTAAGCCGTTATAACCTGAATTCATTATTTTTTAGCTCACCTGGCACGAAGTGCCAAGTGAGCTTATGCCGTGGTGCGGCGTCCGTCGTCCGTCCGTCGTCCGTCCGTCCGTCGTCCGTCCGTCGTCCGGCGTCAATATTTTACCTTAAACGACTTCTTCTTAATAACCGAAAGGCCTAGGGTGATGATATTTGGCCAGAAGCAAACTGGGATGAAGGGCTACCAAGTTTGTTCAAATAAATGACCTTCATCTATTTTCAAGGTCACAGGGCTCAAATATGTGAATAAATTTAAACAACTTCTTCTCAATAACCAAACTGCCCAGGAAGATGATATTTGGTCAGTAGCATGCTAGGGTGAAGGGCTACCAAGTTTGTTCAAATGAATGACCTTCA